GTATGCTGAGTCCAACTCATATACCCACTTGCCCACTGGGCATACCCAGTTGTATGTTTATACATAGGTAATCATGCTCATCATTCAAATATTTTTCAATATTGGTTGAGCATCCTAATCTGAAAACCCACACTCCAAAATGTTCCCAAATCTGAAACTATTGAGGTTTGGGATTTTGGAGTGTTTTGGATTTACAAAGTAGGATGTTCAACTGGTAAAATCTCTACAAAGATTTCAAAAACTGAAATTAGAAACACTTCTGACCCCAAGAATTTCAGATAAGGAATATTCAACTCATAATCATCTCAGTGATTAGCAATACCACTCACTCAGCCACTCAAATATGAAATCTGGACAAATATGTATCTTCTGTGTCCACCTGGTTCTAATTGTGTGTTCTCTTTGGCACCATCACATCTTCCTTACCACAGGGCCACACATTTCTCCAACGCTTTATGATAAGAATCTTATATCAAAGTCCAAACTGCCACCATTTAGTCCTTCTGCATTGTTGCCAGTTTAGGGAGGACTGCCAGTTTAACCTCTTAAATCTCTAATCTTATGCTCCCCAAGATACTAGGAAGCCCAATTTCCTCAGCCAGGAATACTTAAGTCCACACTGCCTGGTCCCTGGGGTTTCTCTGTTCATTCCAATGCAGGGCACCAGTGTCTTCTAAATTCACAGAAGAATAGAGAACCACTCAGTTCTCCCCACTATGCAAATACTAAGTTTATTCATGAGTTCCCTCTTTGCATAGTACTTTTTACTTTCTTTCATTTGAATTCTCCCACTCCCAAGTCAAATCTCTGAAAAGCAAGTATCACAGGCACTAAAAAGGCTTGCCCTTTACATAGGTATATAACTTCCTGTAGTTTTATGCTCTTTAATACAAAAGTACATCTGAGTGGTATCAAAAACAACAACAAAATTCAAGCTGAGAAGAAAAAAAATGCCATTGCTGAGGACAGACAAGTACATGCAAAAGTGGATTTCTATATGAAGACAGAACTATCAGGTCCAGAGCACACGTAGAAGATTTGTTGTTGATGAGAGCAGGATTTTTCTTGACTGTAATGAGAGATATGTAGGAAGCAGGGGTTTAGATGATGCTGGTCTGGAGATGTGCTGGTAGGAAGGCATGGGGGAAGCTTTTATGTAAGCTTTCCTCAGTGAAGTGTGAAGGGAGGTTGTCATTATAGTCACAGGCACTCAGTAGAGGAAAGTGGGAAGCTTGAGAGGAGACAATATGAATTATCTCAGAAACTGAAAAAGGAAACTGCATAGGAAATCTTACAGCATTAGTGAGTAGAAACAAATTTCAATGGCTGATCAGTAGTCCTGAGTTAAAGGTGACACCAGTCACGTTTCACTGTAAGGCACTCTCTAACTCCAAAGCAAATGTTCTCTGCTTTTAGACAGAGATAAAGAGGTGAGCTTAGGGAGGATTGCTGTCCTTTTGCTTGGTTAAAAAGATTTAGAGTACTACATGCTGGGCATCACTCTGCAGGAACACAGGGAGAAGCAGAGCAAAGCTTCTCTCTCAATGAAGCTCATATTGTTAAGGAATAAATACTTAATGCAATTGCACACAATAATCAGTGTTATAAAGAACATAAAGCTGGGTAGAAATCAGAACATTATTTGAGTGAGTATATTCTCCCAAGGACAGAACAAAGCTACACTTTATAAATACTTAATGTCTTAAAGCAATAGGGCTTAATCTTCTAAAGTCACCTATTTTAGAGTAAAAAAGAGGGACATTCAAAAGAAGTGGGTATTTTAACAGAGTCCATGAAATCTTGGCTTGAGTAGAACTAGTAGGGCAGGCAGGGAAAATTAGGATGAATCAGTAGGTTTGGGGGCTAGACAAAGATTGCTAGAATGTGGTCCACAGACCACACAATAGCTGAAGTACAAGGTTAAGAGATGTTTCTGTTATGCTGTGGGAGCTAATGCAATAATAATAATAAAAAAATTTGGCCAGTATTAGAATAGTCTGCCTTCTGAATTGTTCAAGAGATTTTAGATTTTAAGAATGAGTCACCTTAAAAAAGACTTTGAGGCCGGAGTTGGCGCACACCTGTAATCCCAGCAGCTTGGGAGGCGGAGGCAGGAGGATAGCAAATTCAAAGCTAGCCCCAGCAATTTGGTGAGGTGCTAAGCAACTCAGTGTGACCCTGTCTCTAATAATAATAATAAAAAAATACAAAATAGGGCTTAGGATGTGGCTCAGTGGTCAAATGTCCCTGAGTTCAATCCCTGGTACCCACTGTCCCCTGCAAAAAAAAAAAAAAAATGACTTTGAGGTGGGCGTGGCAACGCATGCCTACAATCTCAGAGACTTGGGAAACCAAGGCTGAAGGATTACAAATTTAAGGCTAGCCTCAGCAACTTGAGAGACACTATCCCCAAAATAATGATAAGATAAAAAGAACTGAGGTTATATCTTAGAGGTTAATCTCCCCAGGGTTCAATCCTCAATATCCCTCCTTTCCACCAAAGACTGTGATAAGATATATAAAAACATGAATATATGAATATATGAATATATGCCTCTGTAAGTTAATTTGAACAAAGATTGATGTAAGAATGCTATTTATTATTGATAAAAGCTTATTTATGAGCAAAGAATTGGCATATATTATTTTTACTAAAGTGGAATGTTCTTTGGTTTATAAATTTGATTTTAGAATTTTTCCTGGTAATTAGAAGAAATCTAGGGTAAAATTTGCTACATTTAAAAAAATTTATAAGAGAAACACATTTTGAAATCTATTGTTTTCACTATATGTCAATGAACATAGGTTCAAAAACAACTATTCTCGAAGCTGGTCTTATTCTCAAAGCTGAAACTTATTGTTTCACATTTTTTGACACATTTTTGATCTACATAAGTTTTTCCAAAGGATTTTTTGCCTGTGGTTTGTATTGTTATTCTCTTTTAGATATTGTAGAATGTAAGATCTACTAAGAAACAAACATTTTCTTATTCACCCCTACAAGCCATATTCAAAACAATGCCTGCATATGTGATACATTTTTTTTTGTGTGTGGTGCTGGGGATCAAACCTAGGCATGCACTCTACCATTGAGCCATATCCTCCAGTCCTTGCCCCCAATTTTTTCATGAACAAATAATCACAGAACACTTGAACAAGACTAGAGAAGAAATAAAAAAAAGCAGTTGAAAGTGGTGAAAGAAGAACAATGAAGAAAGACTCATCTTGTATAACTTAAAGGCAAAAAGGTGACGTGTTCCATACTTAGAAGCATGTTATTACCCTTATAATAGTAATGTTTTCATTTAACATACAAAAGTATAAACTTAAAGGTATCTGAATTTCATAGTAAGGAGGTTAAGTAAATCTTGGAGGATCATTAAAATCTAGAGATGTTTGTCCATTTAGTGTGACTAAAACTGGCAGTCCTGTTTTCCCCACAAGTGAATCATTAGACAAATCCCAAGGGCATTGTATCATAAATGATCATCAAAGATGATGGCTGATCATCTTGGTTTATAAGCATAATTCCTAAATTGTAAGAGATTGCTATTCATGCTTTGAAAATGACTGATATTCAGTGATGAAAACCAATTTAAATGTTTGGTCTATAAACTACAGATTCAAAATATCATGTAATAAGTCATATATAATGTGAACAATAATATGTATCACTTATTTACAGTTTACACATTAAACTCAGCAAATTGCTTGCTTTTTTAAAAACATTTCCTAGGATAACTTCTCAAAAAGCCACAAATTAATTTCATACTTTTACCTATATATATTTTTTAAGTTATCTAATTTTTTTAAGTTACATATTCTTGATCCTAAAATTACACTGGATGGAAAAGTCAAGACTTAGTTTTATTTCACTATTAAGAATGCAATCAGTATATAGTATTCTCTTGGTAGGACTAACGATTTGGGTTCAAGGACTCTTCAGAACTCAGTGTAGTTTCCACTCTAGGTCATGAGGAGCTCTGAATTTGAAAATGACAATCACTTTGAATATGAATCTCAACAGAGTTCTGTTTCAATCTTCATGATTATCTTAAATGATTAAATAGTATTTTCCCATCTAAAAAAAGCTGTGCTTACGTTTAACAAAATGGTAACATGACTCATTCATTGTAAATCATCATTAATGACACTTGAACAAACTATTAAAAACCATAGCCTAATATGCAGAGGATGGAGCCAATCTTCAGAGTGCTACTTGGCCTCAGTTTCATGCCATGTCAGCCTCCAGGAGAATTCCTGAAAGAGCAAGAACTTTCCCAGAGCATGGCATGATACAAATCTGATCTTCAGAAGAGATGTAACATTCCAAAGTAGAAATGTTTTGAGTAGTAAATGCTTTGATATAATTGTAAGTTTCAATTCAAACAGCAGGACTTTTAATAGATCTTTTCCCTCTTAAAAAGAAAATGTTTCTTTAGTATCTTCTGAATTTTTCCATTCCTGCTTATCTCGTAGGAATGTAAGAAGCATCAATGAGATAATATTTATAAAGTTTTTAAGCTCCCTCGAAGAAAAGTGTTAAATATCCAGAGGTATTAGTGTATCCTAAGAAAAATAGCAAATAATGTTCTGAAGAGCTGAAAAACATCAGTATGCTTTGTTCTTTGGGTATAATGTTTTGACACACCAAATAAATACCAGATTGAACTGAGGTCATAAGCATAGTTAAAAGAATATCTAATATTCTATAACAGAAAGAAGAGAATTTTTAATGTCTTTAAAAATACAAGCTATATTAACTATTATCAAGTACATTTACTGTCATGAAAAAAAAATAATTTCTTTAGAAAGTAGCATGTTTAGCAAATTGCTAGCCTCTCACACCTCTATGACTCATGATTAAACAGGCTCATGAATCTGTTTTTTTTTTTGTAATGTCAATATAATCCCTTTTAAACCAATGTGTATTTTTAAAAAAGTGCCTTCAATATTTCTGCTAAAAAGGGAGGAAAACACCACATCTCTTTGCAATTTACCTTGAATAATAAATTGTTCCATGTTTTCTTTGAAAGGCTGCATGTGCTCTTTAGAGGAGACTTGGTATACTTTCCCAGCTTCAACCTCACAGGCTGAAATGAGACAGAGAAAGAGAGAGAGAGAGAGAGAGAGAGGCAGGCATTATTTAGAGAATTACACTGCTAATGAAACATTATAACAATTTTAAAACATATTAGCTGAAGTTTGAAAATCCTCTTATCCACCTTAATTGGCATAGGTTCTGCATATATTTTGGAGACATCAAAATACTGACATGAGAGGCCTATGATTAAGATTTTCTTTTAGAGAATTGTAAAAAGAAGTTTATCCATAATTAAAATCCAAATTTCTGAAAAAATAACAAAGAATGACAGTAATGGTGAAAGTTGTATAGGAACCAATAATTACGTGACATCTGTTGCATGCAAAATGCTTTTTACCTATAATTTAATTTAATCCTTAGAACAAGTCAGTGAAATAGTCATTATTACCCTCTTATAGCTGAGGAAGTTAAGGTGTAAATAAGGTACTAATTTGCTGAAGGGTCTGGTCTACAAATATAAGTGGCAGATTTGCAATTGATATTCTGATCTGACACCAAAGTTGGGCCACCTTCCTTATCTGTAGCATTGTGAAGGTCTTAAGGTAGTCTTCAGAGAAAAGTGAAAAGCAGATATATGAAACACAAAACTTTGGCCAAATTATTGTTTAACTCAGGAAAACATACTCTTACTACCATTCATGCAGTAAGATTGCCAATTCTCCAAGCCTTTTTTTTTTTCTCTTTATAAAAACTGTATTTTCGGGCTGGCACTATAGCTCAGTGGCAGAGCACTTGCCTAGCATGTGTGAGTCACTGGGTTCGATCCTCAGCACCACATAAAAAAATGAATTAAATAAAGGCATGCTGTCCATCTACAACTATAAAAAAGATTGAAAACAAAACAAAACTCCTTCTCTTCCCCTCCGGGTCATTAACTTGTTTAAGTAGGGAATATAGGAGGGCTGTATTGTTAGCACACATTTTCTCCATCAAAGGTAAAAGACATCTGACTAGCAAAACTGAAGACCATTTTGGCACATCTAGGGTTCTCTCTGTCCACTCCTTTCCCAATCCCTGCCTGAACAGGCTCTTGCCCATTGGATGTTAGCAATTATCCAGTCCATATTCCCAGCCCAGACTCACATATTAAACTTCAACCCATATCAGACACTCAGTATTTTCAATACAGAACTCCATCTCTAAACTGGATCCTCCTTGTTCTCCCTCTGTTGGTGGTACCACCACATGACATAAACAAAAAAGGAATTCAGCTAGCCTCTCACACCTCTATGACTCATTCAGCCAAAACAGGAATTATTCCCCACTTGCTTTTTTAAATTCCATTTTTTTAAAACCTCCTTAATACTTCTTAGGTTGACCCTATTTCCTTCCTTCCTGCTCTATTCTGGTACAAATGCCCTCATCCTTCCTATGTGGGACACTTTAAAAACCTCTTTTCTGGGCTTTCCAACTCCAATCTTCCATAGACCTTTGGCTTCCTTATAGCTTTAAAAGCCATTCAGAAGAGAACTGACCAATTACCTACAACTATTCAATAACCTTTACCCTTAACAACCATAGTCTGAATAGAGGAATAACTTTAAATCCTGCAATATGGACTATAGTACTTTCTACAATGTAGAACTTGGCAAACATTCAATATTATACCAGCTACCTCTGAGACTTTGTACAGACTCAATGCAAATTCTAATCCACACACCCTTGCTCAAGCTGTTTCTGCTTGAAATGATTCTCTCTTCTTTTTCTTTTGTACCAGGTATTGAACTCATGGGTGCTTAACCAGAGAGCAATATCCCCAGATCTTTTTATTTTGAGACAGTGTCTTGCTAAGTTGCTTAGGGCTTCACTAAATTGCTGAAGCTGGTCTTGAACTTGCAGTCTTCTTGACTCAGCCTCCCAAGTCACAGACATGCACCACCATACCTGGAAAAATGATTCTTTACCCTCACCCTATAAACCACAACTCCTACTATAAACTTATGTCTTAGCTCAGATGTAATGGCCCCTGAAAAGCATTCCCTGACCTTCATACATCCCTTGCTTTCCTTCACCTCTGCAACCACTCTCCAGGAAGGACTAGGCATCCCTCCTTTGTGATCTCATTGCATCTTGTGCAAATCGAGTTAGAGCTGTTATTTAATGAACAATTTCATGTGTCAGAGACTGTTTCCAAGTGTTTTACATATGTTGTCTCATTCAATCCTCATGAAATCCTTTGAAATAGGTTATTAATATGCTCACTTTATATCAGAGAAATACAAAGTCAAAGACATTGCCCACATTGACTGGGTTCATAATTGAGGAGGTCAGATTCAATAGCAACTGCCATGCTATATTAAAGTTATTTGTAAATGCTTCTATCCTGCCCCACTAGACTGCACTACTTGTGAGAAATCCGACTTGTTCCCATTTGTATGTCTAGTGACTGACACAGGCAACAGATTGTTGTTGGATGGGTGAGAGGCTGGATACATATCTACAGAAATGGAAATGATATTTCAGAGTTTGGAATTTAGCATACAGGGTTTAAATTCCAGTTCACTCACCTACTGAGAGACCTTATGATTGTGGGGGTTAATTATCTAATCTTTTCAGTCCTTAGTTGCATCACCTGACAGTAAATTTAATGAAATATTTAACATTAGTATTATGCTTAGCTAAAATGTGGGAGAAAATGCCTAAAACTGAACGTGGAATATAGAAGCAGATGCAGAAAAGTAGTCATTATTGCTAGAGACCAGATAGAGTTCAGGCTAGAAAAGTCTAAGATAAAATACTGAATGGACTCAGAGTGAAGTGGGTGTAGACTTCCTTTACCTTGATTCCAAGGAAGAAGGAAAGTGAATGAGAAAAGTTAGAGAAAGAGATATCACTTTGAAGGGCTAATATTTTTGGATCTCCTACAGTGAGGTCATTGGGACCACTCAGAAACTAGCTGGTGAAAGGAAGGGGTCAGATGAGGAGAGACACAGATTGTATCACTAGGATAACCCCAGGAAGCCAGAAATTCTGTTTTTAAAATGTCTTCAGCTGAAAAATAAAGGTATATTTGATCGTATCATAATTGGAAGAGTTTTCTTTTTTTTTTTTTTCAATTTTTGGTTGATTTATTTGAACATGAAAAAAAATATTAGGCACCAAATACAAAAATGTTATAACATAAATAAGATGTGCCAATACTTTATTTCTTCAAAAAGAACAATCAACAAAATTCTAGAATTGAAAATCATTATATATAATACCAAATTGACTGCCACCAAAAAACTCAGAGCATTGCCCCTTAAAGAGAAAGAGGTACTTAAGCCTATTCATTACATTTCTAAATACTTTACAATTCCTTATCTCCACCTTCTGTAATTCATGCAGAGATTGGGCTCTCAATAACAAACAGCACCCTAATAAAAAGGTCTCAACACTCTACCCACTCCAACCCCCCAAAATAGTAATCAATTTCTTTTCCACAGAACCATTGTAAAAAGAACTGCTTGTCCAAAGGAGTTGCTTCACTGAAGATTAAATGGATTGTTAACATTTTATCACAAAGCAAACAACCATTTTTCATTGTTATTGATTTTAATGGAAACAATGCTCTTAACATCTTTGCCTACAAATAATGAACTTTAAAAATAACATATTTTGCAAATGTTTTCTTTCCATAGTATCATTTTGGAACTGCTGCAGTTATTACACCGCTATATAAAAGTTATGAAAAATTGTGATAATTATGAATTGAACTATATACAGCAAACAAATCAGCCTTTGCCTTCCAATATTTAAATGGACTATGGTTCTTTTAAGAAGCACTTTCACCATAAGTAAGCACTGCTTGGAAGAGTTTTCTAAAAATGTGTAAATTAGGAACTCAAAGGGGATCAGTAACAATGCTTCAGGGAAATGAGGTTGAGATCCACTCATTTTATCATTTCAGTAAATTATTTTTGATGCAGGAAGGTGAAGAGATGTTCCCAGAGTCTTTAAGCAGTTTCTAATTGCTAAGCAATCTATTCACACATGACACAGATATTGATCAACTACTTTTTGCATTCACAGTACTGCTCCAGGCACTCTGGCTACTGTCATAAACAGGACAGACAAAGCCTCTGTCCCCCCAAAATGAGTTCACTATACAGTCTTTAATTTTTCTTTGGCCAAGGTATATTAATATAAAACTTGTATATACTAATAGAAAACTTATTGTCACAGAAGTCTGCTCTGTCTGTGGACTGATTTCTACCTTTACCTCCTACCACTCCTCATTTATTCACTCTGCTGTATTGCCAGTACTTAGAATAATTGCTGGCAGGAACCATGCATTCAACAATTATCTATGGAATGAATGGACACATTAATTATATCTGTCATAGTAAACATCTTGTAAAATGTCATACTTATTCAAATTTGTCCAAAACTTCTATTTATCTATCTATCCTCAGTTTTTGGTTCAACTGTCAATTCCTAGGCTAAGAGGTTCAACCTCCCCTCAACTTTGTACTTCCCTTTTCTATAGAACATGTAACTGATATAGGATGAAAGCAAAGCTTTAGATAAAACAGACCTGTATCCAAGTCTAGTTCTACTACTAGCTATATATTCTTGTACTAGAGTTCCTTAAGTTCACTTATCTTGAGTCTCAACTAGGAGTCGAACTTGAAGTACTAAGTACTAAGCTGGCTTTCAGGAAGCTCACAAAAGATTATAATCATTAATTATTTATGCCTCATTCCATTTATTTGTTTATCTTTGCTCTGATTACAGTTCACATTCCTTCAAACAAAGAACTGTCCTATTCATCTTTTGTATCTAGTGTTTGAAATACAGAAATACTAAAACCTAGAGAAGTGCTTTCAACTATGCCCGTGGTCATAAATTTCCTTAATCCAGACAATGAGTCTCCAGAGGTGGATGGCTTACAATACCACAGGCACACCAAAATCCAAATCCAAATTAACAAAGTTCTTCACTGTGAAGTAAAAGCATCACAATTATTGGTGTACAATTGTTTGTAGGGAGTTGTTTCCTTACTATTTT